TGCTGACCTTGAATGGGATTTTTGTGGCATCTTTTTGTTGATATTGTTGTTGTCATTGCTTCTGTTTGTTTGTTTTTCTTTTAACATTCAGGCCACTCTTCTGTAGGACTGCTGCAGTTTGCTGGGGGTCTGCTTCTGACCCTAGTTGCCTCAATTTTTCCTGTACCTGGAGATATTACCAGTGAAGACTGTGTAACAGCAAAGGTGGCAGCCTGCTCCTTCCTCTAGCAGCTCCATCTCAGGGCAGTCCTGACCTGTTGCTGGCTTGAGTGCTCCTGTAGGAGGTGTCTGGAGACTCCTATTCAGAGGTTTCACCACTGTCTAGGGGCTGGGCACAGTAGCTCACACCTGTAATCCCAGTACTTTGGGAGGCCGAGGTGGGTGGATCACTTGAGGTCAGGAGTTTGAGACCAGCCTGGCCAACATGGCAAAGCCCCATCTGTACTAGAAAAAAAAACACAAAATTAGTGGTGGTGGCAAGTGCCTGTAATTCCAGCCAATCAGGAGGCTGAGAGGGGAGGATTGCTTGAGCCCAGGAGGCAGAGATTGCATTGAGCCAAGGCCACGCCACTGCACTCCAGCCTGGGCAATGGAATAAGACTCCTTCTCAGAAAAAAAAAAAAAAAAAAGAAGCAGTCTGGCTACTTTTTGATAAAGCAGGTGTGCTGCACTGGGGAATCCTTCTTTGTCCAGACTGCCTAGACTCTTCAGAGCCAGCAGGCAGGAAACACTGAGTTGACTGAACTCAGTGTTTAACTCAGAGATAGCGCTAACTCAGAGATAGCGGCTGCCCCTTTCCCCATGGGCTCCATCCTGGGGAGAGATCAGAGTTCTGCCTGTATAACCCTGCCTGGAAATTCTCACAGGGAGGCCCTGCTCTGTGAGAAGGGATGGATCAGGGTCCCACTTAAGGAAGTAGTCTGGCCATGATCTGGCACAGCAGCTGTGCTGCATTGCAGAGGACTCCCCTTTGTCCAGACTGCCTGGACTCCCCAGAGCCAGCAGGCTAGAACAGCTGAGTCAACTGAACTGCAGAGATGGCGGCCACCCCTTCCCCAGGAACTTGCTCTGTCTCAGCCAGTCTCCAGTCTGTTGCTGCTGGCTGACTGGAATTCCAAGTCAATGGATCTTAACTTGGGAGTGCCATGGAAGTGGCGGTCTGCAGAACAATGCTGCTTGGCTCCCTGGATTCAGCCCCCTTCCTAGGCAATGTATGGGTGGATCTCCTGCCTTGCAGGATTCTTTTTCATCTTTGCAAGGATTTCTGGGGCTGGAGTATGTAAAACTCCTGGGTCTGTGTGTGTGCCTGAGTGGCTGCTCTCCTGAGACTCTGCATGCACAGCTCTGTTTATTGGACCCAAGGCCCTGGTGGCATGGGCTCACAAGGGGATCTCCTGATCCATGAGTTGCAGAGATCCGTGGAAGAAGCATTGTTTCCTGGATGGGGTCACACAATCACTCACTGCTTCCCTTGACTGGAGGTGGGGCGTTTTTTCTTTGGCTCTGTGCTGCTCCTGGGTGGGCAGTTGCCCTACCCCATTTTTCTTCATTCTCTGTGGGTCAAGTTATTCACTTGGTCAGTCCCAGTGTGAGAACCTGGATATTTCAGTTGAAGGTGCTTTATTCACTCACCATTTTCATTCTTCTCCCTGAGAGCCATGGACCACATGTTTTTTGTTGTTTTTTTTTTTTTTTTAGACAGAGTCTTGCTCTGTTGCCCAGGCTGGAGTGCAGTGGCGGGATCTCAGCCTACTGGAACTTCTGCGTCCCAGATTCAGGCAATTCTCCCCACTTTAGCCTCCCAAGTAGCTGGGATTATAGGTGCCTGCCATTACAGCTGGCTAATTTTTGTATTTTTAGTGGATACGGGGTTTTGCCGTGTTTGCCAAGCTGGTCTCGAACTCCTGACCTCAAGTGATCTGCCCGCCTTGGCCACCCAAAGTGTTGGGATTACCAGCATGATGAGCCACTGTGCCTGGCCTGCAGCTGCCTCTAATCAGCCGTGTTGGCCCCTTCTTAGTATTAGATTTTTGTCAAATGCTTTTCTGCATCTGTTGAAATGATCATGTGTATTTCTTTTCATTCTATTAATATGGCATATTAAATTGATTTAATATGCTAAATCAACCTTCCATTTCTGGGAAAAATCCCACTTTGTCGTGATGTATTATCCTTTGAATATTCTGCTGCATTTGTTTTGCTAGTATTTTGTTGAGAATTTTTGCATCTGTGTTTTTTTGGATGGGGTCTTGCTTTGTTGCCCAGGCTGGAGTGCACTGGGATGTTCACAGCTCACTGCAGCCTCCAACTCCTGCAGCTCAAGAGATCCTCCCACCTCAGCCTCCTTAGTAGCTGGGACCACAGGCATGTGCCACCATACCTGGCTAATTTTTTTTTTTTAATTTTAATTTTAATGTAGAGATGGAATCTCACTGTGTTTTCCAGGCTGGTCTCAAACTCTTGGGCTCAAGCAATCCCCAGCCTCAGCCTCTTAAAGTGTTGGGATTATAGGCATGAGCCACCATACTCAGCCACATCTGTATTCTTAAGAGATGTCGGTTTGTAGTTTTTTTGTTTTTTTTTTCCCTTGTGATGTTTTTGGCTTTGGTATCAAAGTAATATTGGCCCAATAGAATGAGTTAGAAAGTGTTCCCTCTGCTTCTGTTTAAGTGGACATTGTTTTAAGTGGCCAACCAAGTATGTGGTAATTTGTTATACAACATAAGAAAATTAATACAACTGCTAAAGAAAATCAACTAGAAATGAGGTGCCTTCTAATGGAAGAACAGACCATCACCTATGGAGCAGCCTTGCAAAAAACAGAAATCTGAATCTGATCAAGCCTATAGTCTAGACCAGGGATCCCCAACCCCTGGGTCATGGACTGGTGCTAGTCCATGCCCTGTTAGGAGCCAGGCCACACAGCAAGAGGTGAGTGACTGGTGAGCGAGCATTACTGCCTGAGCTCCGCCTCCTGACAGATCAGCAGCAGCATTAGATTCTCATAGGAGGGTGAACCCTATTGTGAACTGTGCATGCGAGGGATCGAGATTGTGCGTTCATTATGGGAATCTAATGCCTGATGATCTGAGGTGGAACAGTTTCATTCCACAACCATCCCCACCTCCCATCCCCGACCACTGGTCCCTGGTGTCAAAAAGGTTGGGGATCACTGGTCTAGACCCAATATCAATTTGTAGGAAATAAGGAACATGTTAAACTATGTCAGTCAGCAAATATAATCAGCAAAATCCAGATATATCAAACATTCCAGACTAGAAAACATAAATCACACCTGCAATTGAATGTAATATAGTTTGTAATATAATTTTATATAAGGAATTAAACAGGTGTTGAAAAACCAAAAAAGCAAAAAGTGAGGTAGCATGGACAGTAACTGCAGGAAGCAACTTCCACATCTGGGACTTAGTGAACAAAGAAAAGAAGTTGGGGTTATGAGAACCTAGAGGATTGGAAGAGAGACCCCTTAGAGCTTGGACTGAGACTTGGAGATTGAGGTGCTGCCCAGCTGGTATTAATACCTCTGAGAGAACATGTTGAAGCTGGTTTGGGGAGTGGGATGAACTACCAGTGCCAGAGAGAAAGCCTGTTGGGATGATAGAGATAAGAAGACTAAGCAGACAGGAGGAGCAGCAATTCTGTATCACCTCCCCTGGCCTTCAAGTATCCCTCCAGAGCTCCCGTTGGAAGACCCTAGCAAAAGAAAAATGTAGTTTGCAAAGTCCCAGTCCCAGTGTCACTAAGAGGGGTTGGAGCTAAAAGACGATAGCTTAATAATTGGAACAATAATCAATCTGGTTCTTTCAGTTAATACATTGCAAGGAAAAAACAGTGATGGAAGGAAGTATATCAATTAAAAAACATGTCAAACCAGTTGTAATCTATTGACCATATTTGGATCCCAATCTAAACAAACCATATAGATATTATGAGATATTTGGATTGGGTGTGAAATAATATGAAGGATTATTGTTAATTTCTATAGTGGCTAGAATGGCATTGTACTTTTTTTCAGTTCCTAGTTTTTAGAAATACTTTCTGAAATATTTACCGATAAAATGATGTCTGAAATTTTCTTCATAGTAGTACTGGATGGAGCGAGGTGAAGGTGGTGTTGAAAACACAAGATTGAACATGAATTGATGGTTATTAGGGCTGGCTGATAGGCATATGGGGTTAATTTTATTCTTCTCTGTATGTTGTATATGTTCAGAATTCTCCATAATAAAATGTTTCTTAATGCTGAAAAAATTCCTTTCATAAACTTTCTTTAACCTCTTAAATTGATAGTCAAGCTTTTGCTTTCCTTGATCATATACTGTTGAGAAAGCAATATTTGGAAACATTGTTGCATTTTTAACAATATCTTTAAGAATTAAAAGGCACATACCTTTGATGCCATAATTCTGGTTCTAGGAACTACTTGTAAATCTCTCTGAAGGCATTTATACATGGATATTTGTTGGAAACAACTTAAACTCTCATCATTATGGGGGGGACTAGTTTAATGAATCATAATGTAGTCACGCTGTAGAATACTACTCAGTTATTAGAGAATAAAGAAGTTCTAAATAGAGTGATATGGAATGATCTCCAAGTAAGAAAGCATTTGTGTTCTTTCTGCCAAAAAAAAAATATTGTACTTGAATATATCTAGATTATCTTTGGAAAGGTAGACCAGAAACTAATAATAGTGGTGGCCTCTGAGACAGGGAACCAGATTACTAAAGGTTTTAGAGTGAGAGAGAGACTTTGCTTTTTCACTGAAAGAATGATAAATTTGGGAGCAGGGATGAATGGCTATATCTGGCTGAAACTATGGGAAAGACTTTTTTGAAAAATAAAGATAATGAAAGCTTAGTATTTCTCTTGTCTAACAAAAATAGAAAACATTAACAGGTAAATATAATAGATATTACTGTGAGATATAAAATAACTTCACTTACAAGTGGGAAATATTATCTGAATTTTTTTTTTAGGTGGTGATAGTGGACTGGATGGGTTAGGAGGACCAGGTGTACAACTAGGAAGCCCAGATAAGAAAAAACGCAAGGCAAATACACAGGTAAACTGATATTTTCTTTAATAACATTTTTTCTTTCTAGTATGATCAGGCTGATGAGGTAAATTTAAACTTGGTCATAAGTTTTGTTTTCTATTCAAGTGATTGTACTTTCAATCATTCATTGTACTTTCAATCAATCATTCAAGTGATGGTACTTTCTTTTTTTTGAGGTAGATTCTTGCTCTGTTGCCAGGCTGGAGTGTAGTGGGGTGATCTCGGCTCACTGCAACCTCCGCCTCCCAGGTTGAAGCAATTCTCCTGACTCAGCCTTCCAAGTAGCTGGGATTACTAAAGGCAAGCGCCACCATGCCCAGCTAATTTTTGTATTTTTGGTAGAGACAGAGTCTCACCATGTTGGTCAGGATGGTCTCAATCTCTTCACCTTGTGATCCGCCCGCCTCGGCCTCCCAAAGTGCTAGGATTACAAGCATAATTACAACCGTGCCCGGCTGTACTTTTTTTGTTGTTTGTTTAAGTCTGTAACTAGTGGCTATTGTCAGACTGTCGGCATAGAGTAGATATTGCACAAAGGAAGTGTGGGCAAATTAAAATGCTTGTTCTTAAAGAGGCTGGGCGTGGTGGCTTACGCCTATAATCCCAGCACTTTGGGAGGCCAAGGTGGGTGAATTACTTCAGGCCAGGAATTTGAGACCAGACTGGCCAACATGGGGAAAGCCCCTCTCTACTAAAAATATAAAATTAGCCAGGTGTGGTGGCACACTTCTGTAATCCCAGCTATTCGCGAGGCTGAGGCATGAGAATTGCTTGAACCTGGAAGGTAGAGGTTGCAATGAGCTGAGATCGCACCACTGCCCTCCAGCCTTGGTGACAGCGTGAGACTCTGTCTCAAAAAAAATTAAAATTAAAATGCTTGTTCTTAAATCTAATGTAAAAGTTTTCCAAGGGCATGAATGCCTGTAGTTCTATTAAAAGATTTAAAAATATATAGTAACAATTTTAACCTGAAGTAATTGTTCAACTATAATAGTAATTTAGTATTATGTGCATATCACGAAGCAATCATGATGGAGGCCTTTATTATAATTTTCGATTATAACAAGCAATTATACATACAGGCTCTCATGGTTTTATTCTTTATAAATTTGAAGCACTCTTTTTATGATAAAGGCTACTAGTAAGTTTGTGTGTACAGATTACTGATCTTTTGATCATTTTGACCACCATCTGTTAAACTTGCAGTGTGACTAAAACTGGCAGTTTATTTTTTCAGTTTGAGGCCCAGAGCTTAATGTTTTGAGAGTACTTTAATTGTATCTCCCTGAAGTTAAGGTAGGGGAAAAACTTAGATTCTGATTGTTGTTATTTAATTTTGTGACTATTTGGTGTATGAAAGGTGTTTTAGGTTAGACTGCTTTAGTATTTAAGTGAAAGATTCCAGAGTTATAGGTAAGCATATTAAATGAAAATTAGGATAATGAAGCTTCTTTTGAAAGTTAAATACTTTTGGGGTTTGAAGTTACAATGGATTTGAGCTCAGAAAATCATACTTTATTTTCTTTCGTAAATGAAATAAACCTAAATATTTTTATCAGCAAGTATAATTAAATGTAAACATTAGTCATAACTGAAAGGTCAAGTGAAGATAATAAATGTTTATAACAACACTGCAAGAGAAATTTGACTAATACTGGGTTCACAGGTATTAAGGAAACAGGACAATTTTAATAACATATTTGATCAAAAACATGTATTTTACTTTACATTCTCATTTCAGGGACCTTCTTTTCCTCCATTGTCTGAGTATGCTCCACCACCGAATCCAAACTCTGACCATCTAGTGGCTGCTAATCCATTTGATGACAACTATAATACTATTTCCTATAAACCACTACCTTCGTCAAATCCATATCTTGGCCCTGGTTATCCTGGCTTTGGAGGCTATAGTACATTCAGAATGCCACCTCACGTTCCCCCAAGAATGTCTTCCCCATACTGTGGTCCTTACTCACTCAGGAACCAGCCACACCCATTTCCTCAGAATCCTCTGGGCATGGGTTTTAATCGACCTCATGCTTTTACCTTTGGGCCACATGATAATTCAAGTTTTGGTAACCCATCTTATAATAATGCACTAAGTCAGAATGTCAACATGCCTAATCAACATTTTAGACAAAGTCCTGCTGAAAATTTCAGTCAGATTCCTCCACAGAACGCTAGCCAAGTTTCTAACCCTGATTTGGCATCTAATTTTGTTCCTGGAAATAATTCAAATTTTACTTCTCCATTAGAATCTAATCATTCTTTTATTCCTCCCCCAAACACTTTTGGTCAAGCAAAAGCACCTCCCCCAAAACAAGACTTTACTCAAGGAGCAACCAAAAACACTAATCAAAATTCCTCTGCTCATCCACCTCACTTGAATATGGATGACACAGTGAATCAGAGTAATATTGAATTAAAAAATGTTAATCGAAGCAATGCAGTAAATCAAGAGAACAGCCGTTCAAGTAGCACTGAAGCCACAAACAATAACCATGCAAATGGGACGCAGAATAAGCCACGACAACCAAGAGGTGCAGCAGATGCCTGCACCACTGAAAAAAGCAATAAATCTTCTCTTCACCCAAACCGTCATGGCCATTCATCTTCTGACCCAGTGTATCCTTGTGGAATTTGTACAAACGAGGTGAATGATGATCAGGATGCCATCTTATGTGAGGCCTCTTGTCAGAAATGGTTTCATCGGATCTGTACTGGAATGACTGAAACAGCTTATGGCCTCTTAACTGCAGAAGCATCTGCAGTATGGGGCTGTGATACCTGTATGGCTGACAAAGATGTCCAGTTAATGCGTACTAGAGAGACTTTCGGTCCGTCTGCAGTGGGCAGTGATGCGTAATCACAGGCATTAACTAAAGTGGGTTTATTTTCCTGTGTATTGCGAAAGTTCATTGACACAGGATTTTAATGTTTTACATTATTTTTTTAAATGCATATACAAAACATTATTTACTTAGTTTTTATTAATAATTCACTCATACTAGAGCAAATTTTTTATTGTCTTTGCTTGCTGTCTTAAATGAGAATAATGTATATGGGGGTGCTTTAGAAGCATTTATAAATAAATGTTAGTTGTTGTTATTTATCACAAACGTAAAAGCCTCTTGAAACTGCAAAATAATATATAATAAATGTAGGCAAGTTTTAACTTTTAAAAGTTAGAATCATTGAAATACGTGTATTTCATTGCTGAACTTTGGTTGTACCATATTAAAGATTTAGTTCAAAAGTTTATCAAGGATCCACTTAACACGTCTTCACAACATAATATGTGTAACTGTAACATGGGGGAAAGCATACATTTTTATGGATTAAAAAAATAATAGTATGACACCATATTCCTCCTCCACTAGGGTCTTTGGAATTAATGAGTTTCATATTTTCAAGTGAGTTTTCAGGATATCTGTTTGTACAGATACAAGACAGATCTTAGCATATAGTAAATTCTCAGTAAGTATTGTTGATTAACTTGTGGATGGTACCACATGAAATTGCTAATATTAGATCAGTTGAAAATTGACTGCAATTAGTAAAGTTCACATAATGTATGTCCCAGTTGTGCTATTTAGAATTATGATAGTATTATGCTCCTACTTTTCTTTGATATTGAGTTGTTTTGTTATTGTTTATTGTTTTCCAGAGGAATACTATAGTATCCACAGAAGAATTGTGAATACTTTTTGTATAATTTTGAACTGGGACATATTGCAAATGAGGAAGGTAGAAACATCCATTTGGCCTTAGAGGGCTCTGCTAGTAAAAGAACTACTCAATGGTGGTTTGAAAAATCTTGTTCTAGGGATCTGGATATCAAAAATGAACCTTAGGGGAGATCAAAATCCATTTTAAACAAAGATAATTAAGAGCCAAAGTGAAATCTAACTCGCAAACAACAATTTGAAGCCTTGCAGAAGACTTAAGGAGCTCCCACTGTGACTGGGGGAAAGTATAAAAATGGACCTGAGAGTACCCTCTTGAGGGATGATCAAGAATGGAGACAGTTGGAGGTGTGCTCATTAAGATTCAAAACAGCAGAAATCCATTTTTGGAGCAGTTTCTAACCTGTGGCCAAAAAAAAAAAAAAGTATACTGTTTGACAGCTAATGACAATTTATACAATCATTGGAGGCTGGTAAATCTCCCTAGTATGTTGCCACCATTATCATTGCAACCAAAAAAAATTCTGAAGATTGTGTGGTCATCTACGAAGGAGATAAATAATTACTATTATTTAAACCCAAGTGAAACAATGATGGCAGCAGCATATTGTCAAGAAATTTAAATTATGCATGAAAAATGTGATTTAAAAACAATGTCCTTTGGGTAACACACAAGAACCTACACTTTTAAGACAAGGACTCGACCTCACATGTCAGAAGCTACTAAAGCAAAAGTTAAGTGACTTGGGCTATGAAATTTTGTCATGTCCATTTTAGTCACTGGACCTTTATTCCATGGACTACTGTCTTTATCATTTGGAGCTTTTTCTAAGAAACAGTGCATTCCCCAATTGAGATGAAGTAACTGGAAGATGTGAACAATTTATACAGCCTAACAAATGATGAATTTTATAAAAGTTAAACCTTTAATATTCTGTTGGCAGAAAACTATTCATGCTCCTGATGCATATTTTGATTGAATAAAACTTATTTTTTTAAATACAGTGTTTTAATTTTGACCTACAAAAACAGCAATTTCATATGGTACAAGGTAATATAAGGTTTTCTCCATTTACCCTTGACTAGTTAGAGATGAGTACAAAATATTTTCAGTAGTTGTAAAATATTTATCTTTACAATTTTGGGAAACAAAATGATATAAACTATACTTCTAGGTACTCCTTTGTGTGAAAACTTTACCAGTTGAAGCAGGTTAAATTGCAGTATTTTGGGCTGACAGACATTTGATGGTGTTCACTAGCATACTTGAAGATCTCATCTTACTTGGAATTTTTGTTATACATACTTCTCTAAATGTTTAAGAACCTGGTTATGTTGCTCCTGAAAGTTTAATGAGTGCTGATTTTTAATAAATGATACACTGCATGCTATATGCCTAGTTGTAGCATCAGATCATGATTTGTTATTACCCTGAATAGAGCTAGATATTTTGCGTATAACTTTCCAGTGTTCTCAGGAGTTAACACTTTACATGGTAGTACTTGAGTTGTGATCATTACTAAAATCGATTATGCAGTTTCTTAAACTCTTTGTTTCTTTAAGTTTCAGTAGTTAACTGTTTTTGTGAAAATGAAATAACCTCTCCAAGCTAGTCTAACAGTATTTGTTATGCAATATAATTCATTTTCTATTTCCACATAGTTGTTTTTAAAAACCTACAAACAGGTGAATTTTTATTCAGGTGTTTAGGTCTTCAAAGCACCTTACTTAAATAAGAATCTGTAAATATTCAGAAGAAAAACTCATGGTTCATTCTGACAGTGAATCATAGCCAAGCTGTAATCATGCTGATGAATAGTGTTCATGTGTTTGAAATAATTTTCTTCCTAGTTCTACATTTGTCTCTAAGTAATGCTAAGTCAAAAGTTATATAGATGCTTTTGGATGGAAAAAGTGATGAAATATAAGAATAGCCAGATGATAATTTGTCTGAAGAAGGCTACTATACAAACTGAAATGGCTTCTTAGGACAAATGATAAGCTGCCTTCAACTTTAAAAATATGCAGTGATGGAAAAAAACACAAGTGGAATTGTACCTTTTTTATCCCTTTCCTTCACTGAAAGTCCTCATCTTACACACACACACACACACACACACACACACACACACTCTCACACTCACACACTCTCTTTCTCTGACATCCTTGAGTTTTGCTGAAGTTCAACCTGGCTAACTATGAGCATCTAGGTTTACTCACCAAAGCCAGGTTATTGACAGAAAGGTGGTTTTTTTGTTTTGTTGTGTTTTGTTTTGTTTTTTTGAGCCATCTTGCTCTGTTGCCCAGGCTGGAGTGCAGTGATGAGATGTCAGCTCACTGCAACATCTGCCTCCCTGGTTCAAGCGATTCTCCTGCCTCAGCCTCCTGAGTAGCTAGGATTACAGTTGCTCACCATCTCACCCGGCTAATTTTTATATTTTTAGTAGAGACGGGGTTTACTATGTTGACCAGGCTGGTCTCAAACTCCTGACCTCAAGTGATCTGTCCTCCTCAGCCTCCCAAAGTGCTAGGATTACAGGCATGAGCCACCACGTCCGGCCAGACAGAAATATTTTTAAAGCATCAGTTCCTTTCTCAGAACTTGATTTGCTCATGCACTAGAGAATTTCTGGTCCACATGCTTCTAGGTGTTACTCGATTCACTAATACTGAAACAGCTTAGCTTGTGAAAGATAAATTGTTCTTCAGATAGAGTGCTTAGAATTAGATTTGTGATCAGTGTTTTCCTTTTGTGTGAAATACTTTAGAGTACTGCTATTATGATTCTTGTTATTCAAATTAGAAGGTTATATACATAAAACTGAAGATTTTCTTGTACTAGTACTTATTCTTCATAAACACAGTGTGCAGAAGTCTAGTTTTTTGGTGGTTTGTTTTAGATTCCAAACTCTGCCTAGTGGCAGAAAAACCTCTTAATAGTATGGGTCATCATGAAATCTGCCAACTTTAATCCAAATAAGTATCAAGAGTCTTCATTCAATATTCTTTCAAACTTGTCTTGAACAAATTAGAGTTTTAGCACTTATTGTTCAATGTACTATAGTAATTGTATTTAATAGTAAGAAAATATATAAGCAATGATTTTTTTAAAGGGAGTTCTCAAGAGTTTTGGATTTCTTTCTGCAGTGCATAGAGGTTTCATATGCATGAACATTCGTGCTGTTTTATATTTTTTTCAATTAAAAAAAAATTTAAAAGCATCCAGGCTCCCAAAGTTCATTTGTAAATAGTGGCTTGGAACTCTGCGCAATAGGGAAGCTCCTAAAGGCTCATTTAGACCATAATCTAGTTAATAGTATCATGCTGAGCTCTCAGTTTTCTTTAGAAAACCAATCGATCAATGTAGGAGGGAGAAAGAAGCAGAGGTCTTGTCTTTTTCCTGATATGATTAGGAGGTTAAGTTCTTTGGTGTGGGTTTCTTTGTATTTGCCCCCTTACCATGCTGAACTCTGGTGAAATGTATAAGCAGGCTTGGCTTTTTGTCTCCTGGATGCTCTGTGCTTCAACATTTTATATCTTTCCTCCCATCAGAAATCCTGTGTCTTTGTGTGGCAGTAGTTGGCTAGACTTTAAGAGAAAAGCATTTTCTACTAAGGTATGAACGAAGATAGTGGGAAAAGTGTCATTAAATTTCTTTCTTAAAAAAGGATGTTTATTAAGAATGAATCTTTACTATCTAACATTTCAGACAATACCCACATTTCAGATACCATGGAAGCAGTACGTTTAGTGAATTAGCTGGTACTGTCTGAGGGTACATCCAATTTCCTTTAGGTTGTTGTGACTTTGCACAGCTTCCTGTCCTCTAATTCTGAATTTAGAGATTTTCTTCTCATTTCTAATTTTTAGTAGCTTATTGTTCTATCCAGTAGAGCATTATAAAAGTCAAATCTGCATCTTCCAACTTGTGGTACAGTGATGGCAATTTGGAAGCACCCCTGGAGCAAAGAGTCTAGGGATAGCATTAGCATCTCCCAAGACAAGTGGTGTAGGGGAAATGAAGGAAAGACCGTGGCCATATATACGCCAGGCGTTAATATATCAGAGGCTGCCTGTATTTAATTTAAAACTTTTGATGAAACTCAATGGATAAGCATCTTTGTCTTATTTGTCAATAATACATTACTTGCAATTATATTAAAACTTATTCTAAATACCTGTACCTTTCTTGTTCTGTAGATGTGTAGATGATGTTGCTTGTTTGTCAAAATATTATCTTTTATAAAAGAAAGTCCTGCTTCTTATCATGATGTATGTGACTTAAATGATTGTTTCATATTAAAACTATTTCTTCCTTATGTACTGTTTACATATACCTCTTTTTGGGATATTAGTTCAGTACTTTTATACAAATCTGAGTGTGTTCCACATTGGTGACATGTATTTTTGCAGTAACTTTTTGTTTTGTTCTTAGAGCATGTCTAAAGTAACACATGCACTAATGCTGTGGTCTGTGGCAAAATTACTGTAATTCAAATTGGAAAACAAAATGTTTCCAGACTTTGTCCAACATTTATTCCTATGGCAAAGGAAATTACTATGTAATACTAATTATTTCTTATGCTGGTATGTTTTAAGCTACTCTATGAAGTATGTGAAACATCAATATTTATGGATTAATAGATGGCCTGATGTCTTTCAAATGGGAGAGGAGTAAATTTTAGTGTTACCAACTCATGACACTTGTAATACAATAACTCTTAAAATTTTTATTTTCCACTTAACAGGTATAATTTACTAAGTAATTACCTTAAATGGCAGTGCATGTTAGGATTTTTTAGTCCATACTACTAAAATTATATAGTCACTTTGAAATTATGCTGATATTTCCCAGCCAAAAAAGACATCATTCACTCCCTCATAACCAAAATAAGTAGCACTGTAATGTTTATCTTCATTTATTAAGACATGATGAAGATACCATAAGACTCCTCTGATTTACCTGGAATTTTTAACCATTGATTCAAGGACTTGAATGCTGTTAACTTTGTACTACCTGATGAAAGGATTTGGTAATAAAGGTTATAATCAAGATTTTAAAGAAAAATGTTCAATCTTGAAGGCAAATTTTTAAGCTTTTTATTTTAGAGGTGTTTACTTAAGAATAGTAATTTAAAAGCATTCTTGTTTTGTCCTTAAGACAAGTACCCAAAAGAATTGTAATAAGTAATACTTGGCCAATGCAAATTTGTATATTTGAAATTATACACTTGAAAGAAAAAAATGAATGCTTGTGAGTGCTTAAACTGCGTATCTTTTTAAAAATTCAAATTCTAGACATATCAGTTTAAATTATCCTGAATAAGGTTTTACTATATCAGTGATGTATATTACAAAATGTCTACCTATGTTATGTTAATGATATCTCTATGCTGCATCATATTTGGCATGGTTATGGTATATTTTGTACTTTTGATTGTCGACTATTGATAGGATTGATATAGCAATAAATCTGATTCAGTCCTAATATTTTTTAAAATGCTAGGTACCATACTGTATCATAATCCTATTACATTTGACTTGAATGCCCCAAACTTTCATAGTTCTATATTTTATGTTAAAAATTTAGTATTACATGTTAGGGATTTATTTTTGTCTGCTATTTTCACATACATTCTTTTAGAACTGGATCTGTTTCTATTTAGATCATAGAAGTCTAAAGAATTAATATTCACGAACTGCTTTGTGGAAACATTTAAATAAAGTATGAAATGACTAGATTACCCCAAATTGTTTATTTTTTTATGTGGTTAATGACCAGGTTATAGTTTTCAGACAAATAAAATTGGCTTGATAACTGATTGAATATAGTAGGTAATGGAAAGTTTGACTCTGTAAGGGCCTCCAAGTGTTAAACAAATACATTCTCAATTCTGAATTACTTCATAGGAACTACTTAAATAACAGTAAGCCAGACTCCTTTTTCTTTTTGAGATACTTAACACAATTTGCCTCTTCTGATCCCAATCCCTTCTTCCCCAAAAACTATGCTAGAATTTAAAATTGGAGGAGTTTAATTTGCCATCTACATTTTAGTTTTTTTATTCTATAGATAAGTAATAAGACAAGTAGATGTTCTGCTGTCAAGACAGTCCATGTTGTTGTTGGCCATTCTTTTCAGGGATAATGCTTCATGTCATTTGTGCATTGTATAAAGAATGTTGTTTATCAGTATATAGACCTACTATTAGTAGAAATGATGTATGGCAGGCTTTCTTGAATAATATGTATTGTAAGTTTGTTTCCTATAGTGTTATTATGCTTCAGATTCTTTTAAATAAAGCTAGTTTTTAAAGAGAAAAAGAACTTTTTTAAGCGTTTGATTTTCATCAGGACAAGTAGGTGTAAGAATCTTGGCTTTGGGTGGGAGATGTCCAATATCACATCAAGCAGGGAATAGCCTACAATTTATCAGTGTGATTTTATACTGAAGAGAGAACCAGTATTTTTAGTCATATATATTTTTATTTTTGCTGTATATATATATATATATATATATTGCTGTATATATTTTTTTTTCTGTGAAGTCTATTCAGAAAACGGAGTCCTGGATTTCCTTAAGAAATGATGAGCATGACATATCTACTTTGATTTTAAAAATTTGGGACTTCAGTTCTGTTAGTAAAAATTATCTGGAGAAGAATTTTACAACTTCAGCAGCTTAATGATCCCTGGGGCAGAGACATCAGTGTAGCAAATATTAAGAACAGACTTGCAGCCAGGCGCAGTGGCTCGTGCCTGTAATCCCAGCACTTCGGAAGGCCAAGGTGGGTGTATCATCTGAGGTCAGGAGTTAGAGACCAGCCTGGTCAAGATGGTGAAACTCTGTCTCTACTAAAAATACAAAAATCAGCCAACCGTGGTGGTACACGCCTGTAATTCCAGCTACTCGGGAGGCTGAGGCATGAGAATCGCTTGAGTCCAGGAGGCAGAGGTTGCAGTGACAGTGAGTTGAGATTGTGCCACTGCACTCCAGCCTGGGCAACAGAGCGAGACTCGTGAGACTCTGTCTCAACAACAAAAAAAGCAACTTTCTTGAATGATAAGACCTCTAAAGTTTGCTTGAAACAATCATCAGTTGCCTTGAGTCTGTTACATAAAAAGAGGCTGAACAAAATAATGTGTCAACTGATGAAAGCTCAGCATTATAGGTAAGAAGTGATGAGATGAAATTATCTCAAGATAAAATTTAAATGCATGACGTTTCAAATTTAATAGGAAAAAATATGTGTATCTTGCTGAAGGAGAAGAAATTATAGAGAGAATTCTTATCAAATAACATTAATTGATGCTCTAAGTTACTCCTATTTTAAACATATAGCAGTGATAAATATGAAAAGATAAAATTGAACTTAAAACCACACTAAATCCAAGGGCAGGTAATATTGTACAGAAAGAAAGTATGAGCCATGGTGAAGCAGCAGCCTGCCTGACTGAGTTCGCAAGCAGAAACGTGCAGTCAGAAATTCTAATCTGACAAGGTAATGAGGACTAAACATTTTAAAACATGAGATGCAATAACAGTGCTGAAAGGGAAATATATAGCTTTAGATGATTTTTAAGCTCAAAGTATAATGAGCTAAGTATTGATCTCAAGAGAATACGAAAACAACAACAAAAAACTTGAAAGTAGAAGGAAGGAAATAATAGGAAATGAAATAGGAAAACACTAGAAGGAATAATAAGACCATAAATAGGTTATTTAAAAAATAAAGAGGCCTGGAGCGGTGGCTGACACCTGTAATTCCATGCTTTGAGAGGCCGAGGTGGGAGGATCACTTGACCCCAGGAGTTCAAGATCAACCTGGGCAACCTAGGGAGACTCTGTCTATACAAAAAAATTTTTTAAATTAGCTAAGTGTGATGGTGAACACCTGTGGTCTCAGCTACTCAGGAGGCTGAGGTGGGAGTATTGCCTGAGCCCAGGAGTTGAGGCTGCAGTGGGCCTTGATCATGCCGCTGCACTTCAGTCTGGGCAACAGAACAAGACCTTGTCTAAAAAAAAAAAAAAGAATTTGAGCCTCTGATTATTTTGAAATGGAATCTTGCTCTGTCACCCAGGCTGGAGTGCAGTGGCACGATCTCAGCTCTCTGCAACCTCCATCTCCCAGGGTCAAGCAATTCTCATGCCTCAACCTCCTGAGTAACTGGGATTACAGGTGCATGCCACCATACCTGCCTAATTTTTGTAGTTTTAGTGAAGATGGGGGGGTTTCACCATGTTGGCTAGGCTGGTCTCAAATTCCTGACCTCAAGTGATCTGCCCGCCTCAGCCTCCCAAAGTGCTGGCATTACAGGCATGAGCCACTGCGCCTGGCCAAAACTGATTTTTTTTTTTAATGGTAGGCAGAAATACCAGGAATGAAAGTGGAGGCAAGCATAACACTGTTTGAAGTCAGGGGCTGAGCTGGGATTTCTCTCCACTGCTGTACCACTTGTGACAGGAAGCTAAAAACCAAAACCTACCTTCTACTGATACCTGGGGCTCTAATTTATAGGAAGATGCCGGGCTAAGTGGGTAGAAATATGCAGTTTTAAAAATTCACAGAGTTGGTAACTGGTTTACAATATGAAGAAAGAACTGAAGCAGTGAATTAGCATATAACACCTCGCTGAATTGGGGTCCCTAAGACACAAATTGGAGGCAACCCAAAATTGCTAGAAAGAAAAGGATGAACCCAGAGGAAAGAAAGATAAAAGAAGGGAACAAAAAAGACACTGCAAATCAAAATTTCTGAACACATGAGATCTGAAGACAGGAAAACCAGCTAATCAATACCTTTTGAAATTTCAGTCCACTCAAGATGAAAATAGTGGAATAAACCGAAACTTTAAATAAGTTTGCATAGGATTCTGAAAGGTAAGCTAAACAATAAGATAGAAATGATGAAACCCAAATAAGTAGACGTTAATCCATTCAATATTTACTGTCTTCTACGTTCAGGCACTCTTCTGGATGCTAGAACTATAGCAGTAGATCAAATAGACAAAAATCACTATTCATGAGGTTTTTATTCTAATGATACAGAGAGTAAAAGGGTAAGTGCAATTAAGAAATGGAAGGGCCAGGTGCAGTGGCTCACACCTGTAATAGGGAAAAAAAGTACTAATCAAAGAAATATAGCAGGCCGGGTGCAGTGACTCACGCCTGTAATCCCAGCACTTTGGGAGGTCAAGGTGGACGGATCATCTGAGGTCAAGAGTTCAAGACCAGCCTCACCAACATGATGAAACCCCTTCTCTACTAAAAATACAAAAATTAGCTGGGTGTGGTGGCAGGCGCCTGTAATCCCAGCTACTTGGGAGTCTGAGGCAGGAGAATCGCTTGAACCCGGGATGCCAAGGTTGCAGTGAGCCGAGATCTCACCACTGCACTCCAGCCTGGGCAACAGAGCAAGACTCTGTCTCAAAAAAAAAAAAAAAAAAAAAAAAAAGAAAAGAAAAAGAGTTACGAAAAACTATACCAGAACAATACTAATCAAAGAAATATAGCAGGCCGGGCACCTTGTACACATGTGCCAGCAGCAGCAGCAGTAGTGGCATAGTGGCAGCATGGTGGGGACACACCCGTTGGCTGCAGCAGAGTATAGAAGGTGCTGGGGTGCCTGCCTTTGTGCAGGTATTCACCACAGTGGCAGAGGCAGTACAGCTTCCAGGGGCCCCTGCTGGTGACTGTGTGTGGTTGGCTGGTGGTGGTGTTAGAATGGGGTGCGGGCAGGTGCAGTCTGTATGTGTTCTCTGCGTACCACAGGCAGGGGTGGTCACTCAAGTCAGGGGAGGTTCTGCTGTTCTCTGTGCCTAGTTTCATTCCCATGGCAGTGTTGGTGCAAGGGCATGCCAGCAAGGCAATGTGGGGGGCAAAGCAGCAGTGTGGGGAGGGAGTGGGTGGCCTGGTGTGTGGCTGTAGGGGCTGTCCTGCTGTAGTTCTCTGATGGTCAGGCATGGTCCACCAGCACAGGAACTATGATGTGGGCCCCCAGGACACCCAAGGCTGTCTGGCAAGCAGGCTCAATCAGGCCTGGGCCCCAGAAGGGGCCAGCAGACCAAGGGATGCTCATGTCAGACCTGCCTGTCTGATGGGCAAGACCACCTAACAGAGTTCAGGTCCAACACTTCCTCTAAGGCTAAAGTCTCTCATGGGAGCAAGTTGAGCCTAGAGAGATGGGCTCTCCTGGCCATGCTTCACTATAGATGCTCCCGCACCAAACCTTCTGGGCTCCTCTTCAGCAGACGTGCTGCCCCTACCACTTCTCTGAGCAGCTATCCCTGCCAACTCAAGGGTCCTTGGTGGTCAGGGGGTCTCCTGCCAGGATTCCAGAGGCACACAGCAAGAGTGGGTTGCTCCTTACCAGTTCAACTTACCTGTTCCCTCAGAGTCTCTGAGGGCCAGGAATGAGTCCTGGTGCACAGTAGCCCCATGCAGGGCTCCCAGCTTCCTCCCCCTTCAGCCTAGCTTCTGTGTCTTCCTTTTGTTCATTCTGGTGCCTTCCCTCTGAAGATCTCTTAGGGGTATAACAGTCATCTCAGTCCCTCAGTGGCAGCTGTTCCATCTGGTTGCATCTAGTTGGTCATCTTGCCCCCATTTTCACCCAACAGAACATTTTATAAATATTTTTAAAACCCCACCAAAATGATAAAATAATCGTGGACATGTATGATTGCAACAGAGCCTCAACATATATAAAGCAGGAGATACAATCACAGAGAATTATGGGGAGAAATAAGCAGCAACTGCTTAAGATTTTCAAACAAATTTATTTCAGAAAATGATAGTCCAAGCATCAAATTTAAACAAATGATTTTTAATATATATTTTTGTCCACTTAGTCTGCTATAACAGAATTCTATTGACTGGGTAGTATGCAGACTGTGTGGTCTGGCCAAAAGATAATGACAAAAAAAAACCATGTATGTTTAGAAAATGAAAGTAAACTCTTGACCTCGTGTTCTGCCCACCTCGGATCAAGAC